CGGCACGGCGGCGGTGACCCATGAACAGTCGCCCCGGGGTTGCGATATCTCCTCTCGGCAGTAGTTAGACTCAGATATATTCATTCCAGCTGGACAGCACTTTGTGTCCGACCCGACCGGGTGCCGGAGAGAGAATCGGGATTCCTGCCGCGTCCCACCGGGTCCAGCACCGCCGAGCAGCCGCCCGCAGTTCGCCTCCCTCGCCTGCCTTCGGGGGACTCGCGCTCTCCTGCGTTTGTTTTGGTTTCTTTTCTTTTTTTTTTCCCCTATCTTTTTTTTATTTTTTCCCCCCTTTCCCCCCAAAAAAAAACTTTTGGGATGATGCTGGGCTGGAAGGGGCAAAATATAGCCGGGGTGGACCAATCAGCGGGGCGAGGGGAGGAGGAGAAGGAGGAGGAGAGGGAGAGGAGGAGGAGATGAGGGGGAGGAGGAGAAGGAGGAGATGAGGGGGAGGAGGGAAGGAGGGAAGGGGGGCGTCCCCAGGCACCAGCAGGAAGAGCCACCCGGGGAGGGTCGAGCTGGGACCGGTGTGGAAGCTGCTGCCCCGTTCCCTTCTGTCCAAGGAGGAGGGTTTTTAAATTTTTCTCTTTTTCTTTCTTTTCTTTTCTTTTCTCTTTTTTTTTTTTTTTCTTTCTTGCTTTCTTTCTTTCTTTCTTTCTTTTCCTTTCTCTCTGTCATTCTTTTTTTTTTTCTTTCTTTTTTTTTTTCTTTCTTTTTTTTTTTTTTTTTTTTTTTTTTTTTTTTTTTTTTTGTTCCTCTCCTCTTTGCAAGCCCCCTTTCTCTGCTCCCTGTGCCCTGCCCTCGCCCCCCACCACCCGCGGTGCCGAGGCAGGGAAGCGTTCAGCTTTCCCTGCCGTGTGCAGGAGCACAGGGATGTTCAGGGCTCAGCGTTTATTTTTCTTACGGCTGACTCCGTGTGTGTGTTTTGGCCAGCGTTCCCCATCCGGGGCTGGGAGCAGCCCTGGGGTGAAGGCAGGGGTGAGCCCTCTCCCCCCGGCAATTTTCTGTGGGAATTTCACTGTCGGGCAAAGAAACTGCTCCTTAAGTGCTGTTTACATGAAAAGCATTGTGTTTTCCAGGGTCTGTGGAGGAATGGGGGGTGCGGTGCCGGCCAGGTGATGGTGGCTAAACCCAGGCTGCAGGGGCTGGCACGGCTGTGCCATCGCTGCGTGCCTTGGGCATGGCTGGGCACCCACAGCACGCTGCCATCGCCAGCCACAGCAAAGCAGCTGTCCCCTGCCACCAGGTCACGGCTCCGCTCGCTTGGCTGCCATCCAGCAGGGATTTGCAGCGCCAAGGGCCGGGCTAGGTGGTCTGAAGGTCCTTCCTGCCCTTGGCACTGGGAGTTACGAGCTCTGCGGGACCCATCTGCAACCAAGGAGATCGGCTGGCGCACTCTGCCTGCCCCCTGACATCCCCGGGGCGACCCGGCTGACTTGAAAGAGATGTCCCAGCTCCGGGTTCCTGCCCCCAGGCCCTCTCTGGCTGTGGACATGCCCTAGACCCCAGCCTGAAATGTGAACCTCAGCGTTAGGAAGACTTGGGGCACTGGGTTGCGCAAGAGCCCAGCTCCAGCCTCTCACAGCCGTGGGGTATTGCATGCCATGGTTTCTGTGTGTCTGGAAGTGATTTGGACAAGCCGATCTGCTGTTAACCCTAAACAAAACAAAGGCCTCTAAAAAAAAATAATTTAAAAAAATCGTGTCTCACTTATTCTTCAGTCATCAACCAGGAGCGACAGAGGTTTTGGGTGAGATTTCCTTCATGTTTCTGGAGCTTCTTATTAAAATTTTGAAAGTGCAAATCAGCACCAGTCCACAGGAGAGCCCACACAGCTGCAAGGAGTGTCCTCTCCTCTCTCCCCCATCCAGAGGGAGCTGGAGCACTGCTTTGCTGGAGATGCAGTCCCTGCTGCCATCCACCGCAGAGCCCCTGCAGGCTTTGGCTCTCTGCCCCTGCCCTGGGAGAAGGAAGGTGGGTGCTGGGGGATCTGGGGACTCTCAAGCAGGGGCCTGTGGCTGTCTGTGGAGTGTAGTGAGCAGCCTTTGGGACAGTCAGCCTGGGCAGCTGGTGGGGAAATTCCCCTTCTCCCAGGCTTCAGCCAAGCATGTGATGCTTTTCCTGATCACATCCTCTCTATGGCCTCCTCCATGGCCCTGGCAGAATCCTCCAGGTGTGCTCAGAGCTGCCCTGGAGCCGGGGTTGGGCCTGGTGGCACCAGCTGGCATTTGGGATGTGCTGGGGATGAGCTGCAGCAGGGTGGGAGTGGGGACAGCTGGCTTTCCCAGCCCTGGAATGATGTTTAAAACTGGGACAAACCCTCCGCAGGGGAGGCAGAGCCTCATGTCCTCCACACTTGCTCTGTGCAGCCACTCCAGGGCTGGGCTTCTTCCACATGGGATAACCAGGGGCTCAGGATGCTCTCCCTGTTGCAGGGGGCAGAGATGAGGGTGGTGCAGCTGTCCCTGCTACAATGGGATAGTTTGAGGACTCCTGACCATGGAGCAAAGCTGGGCACTTCGACCCTCAAGCTCGCATGAAACCCAGCCTTGCACTGGGTCTGCAAACCTGGTCTTACAGGGCATTTGCTGTTGGTTCTGCATCATTAGGGAATCATTAAGAAAAAAGGAAAAGAAAATTAAAAATTGCAAAAAAGGAAACAAATAGAAAAAATGAGATGAAGAGCCATGGAGTGTGGCATGGTTTTGGAGGAGGCAAAGGAGAAAGGGGAAGGAGAGTTTGGAGGGGGATGGAGCAGTATGCAAAGCACATAAAAATGCCTGTATGCAGAAATGCCTGGGTGCAAAGCACCCAAAATGTCCCCAGGCCAGCCCAGGAGGAGCCTGCCTTCCAGAGCAATGCCACCCCACCTTGCTCCCCTCCCTCTCCCACAGCCAGCACCACAGAGCTTCACTCCAGGGAGTGAAAGCTCCCTCACCCAGGTGTGGGGTGAAGTTGCAGGATCTGTGCCTGGCTCAGCTTTCCTGGGAGGGGGATAAAGCCCTCCTCTCACCCTGCTGCCCACAGGGCTGGGACATGGGGTGCTGGTGACCCCCTGGCTCCTCAGCAGCCACATCTGCAGCTGCATGCAGGGAGGAAGTTCTGGGCATCCCTGGGCAGAGCCAGGATCGGTGTGTGCCAGCCGAGTGACCTCTCCCCACACCCTCCTCGCTGGCTTTGGAATCAGGCAAGCTGGACCCCAGTAGAGCACACAGCCTTGGGAGTTGTGTATTTTTTAATTTATTTTTTTTTTATTCCCTCCCCAGGTTTTATTGAGCTGGCAGCTGGCTGACCCCACTCCGGCCCCTGGCTTCCCTTCTTAGCATCCCGCTCAGCCCAGCACCACACCTAGCAGAGGAAGCGTGGCGGGACGGGCCTCCTCTGCTCCCCAGCACAAAGGCATTTTCCCTCCCTGCTCCCAGCCCTCCCACTCCCGATTATTTCTCCCAGGTCCAATGCCGAGCTCCCAGTCAGCTAAAAATAGATGTGGCACCACCTGGATCATCCCTAGGGGCCT